AATGGAAATTGAAATTGATGCTCTAGAAGCTACTAATACTTGGACAGTTTGCTCATTACCTGATGGAAAGAAACCAATCGGTTGTAAATGGGTTTTTAAAGTAAAACTCAATGCTGATGGTACATTGGAGAGGTTCAAGGCAAGATTAGTTGCTAAAGGTTATACTCAAAAGGAAGGTCTAGATTATGGTGATACTTTTTCTCTAGTGGCCAAAATGACAACAGTCAAGACTCTATTATCTCTTGCAGCCATCAAGGAGTGGAGTTTACACCAACTGGACATTTCAAATTCATTTCTCAATGGAGATTTAAATGAGGAAATCTACATGAGCTTACCTCCAAATACTCTATGAAACAGGGAGGAGTTTTACCAGATAATGCAGTCTTGAAGTTACAGAAATCTTTATATGGGTTGAAGCAAGCCTCAAGGCAATGGTATTTGAAGTTTAGCTCCACTTTGGTGAATCTTGGATTCAAGAAATCTCATGCAGATCATACTCTATTCACGCGTATAACAGGTAATGACTACATTGCTTTACTTGTTTACGTCGATGACATTTTTATTGCGGGAAATAATGATGCTACTATAGAGGTATTGAAGAATGATCTAGCAAAGGCTTTCAAATTAAGAGATTTAGGTCCTCTGAAGTATTTTTTAGGCCTGGAAATTGCTAGAACCAAAGAAGGATTTTCAGTGTGTTAGAGGAAGTATACATTGAATTTACTAGAGGAAACTCGTTTGTTAGGCTGCAGACCATCAACTATTCCGATGGAACCAAGTCTGAAGCTGTCACAACATAGTGATGAACCAGAAATTGAAAATCCTGAAACATATCGAAGACTAATTAGGAAGTTGATGTACTTGACTATTACTAGACCTGACATTACCTTTGCAGTCAACACGCTATGTCAGTTTTCATCATCTCCTAAAGCTTCACATCTGAAAGCAGCATATAAGGTCCTTCACTACATGAAAGGCACTATTGGATTGGGTTTGTTCTATTCTTCCAAGTCTGATTTGTGTCTCAAGGCCTATACTGATGCAGATTGGAATAACTGTGTTGACTCCAGAAGATCTACATCAGGGTATTGCATGTTTCTTTGTAATTCTCTGATTTCTTGGAAGTCTAGAAAGCAAGATGTATCCTCTAGTTCTTCTGCTGAGTCTGAATACATGGCAATGGCAATGGGGAGTAAAGAAATAGCCTGGTTGGTGAAATTACTTGCAGAGTTTCAGGTACCACAAACAAAGCATGTACCTCTGTTTTGTGATTCTACTGAAGCTATCCACATAGCCAATAATGCTGTGTTTCATGAGCGCACAAAGCATGTTGAAAATGATTGTCATATCACAAGAGATAGGATTGAACAAGGGATGCTGAAGACTTTACATGTGGTAACAACAGACCAGATTGCAGACGTCTTAACCAAACCTTTGTATCCTACTCTTTTCAACTCTCTTATTGGCAAGATGAGTCTTCTTTCTATATACGGCTCATCTTAAGGGAGGATATTAGTCTGTATGACCGGTTTGTGTAAACCGGAATCAAACCAAAACTCTCTACTATATAAAGAGAGTATCATGTAAGAGAATCTTTCAAGTTGAATAACAAACTTTCTTCTTCTTCGTTTTCTCTCGAGAACTTACAACTACTATCATTAACTCACATCCAAAATTGGAAGATTGCCATACATTTTTAAGGAACACATTGCTCAAATATATAAATTTTGTGGGATAATTTTTGTTGTTTTGTTTTGAATGTAATGTTAAATTATATTCAAAGAAAAAATAAATGTTGCAACTTTGTGGGATATTTCTAATACATGAACAGTAAACAACAATGACTAACTCCAAAAAAACAACCAAAATGGTACCGAAAACATAAAACGTCAAAACGAGAAATTTGTGTGACTAACATTTTTTTTTTCTTTTTTTTCTTTTTTTCTTTTGTGTATTGTCGTTTGTAACTAAGTTTATTACAATTTGTCTAATAATATACAAAGGAAGTGACACTATCCAAAGAATTTCATGACACCATTTTCAGATGTTTTAAAGATAACACGTGTCTTCTTATTTTATTTAACATGACATACCTACACTAGATAAAAACCAAGTTAGACGGCGTTTCTCCTGAGCTGGTATTCATATTCCCAACCCCTGCAAGATGCAGTATCTATTCTTCTCTCTCTCTCTTCCTCTTTCAAATTAAGAATTATGAAATCTAAAATAAATAAAAAACGAGAAGAAGATAGTGCTGTAACCTGCTTAAATGGACGATCGCCTTTAACCTCCCTCCATTACCTCAAACCAAGGTCACATCTACACTTTGTTGTTAAATTTTCTATACTCATCGAATCAAGCTGTTTCTACAAAACTTTTGATAGAGAAAAGCTACAATACTTTGTTTCTAAGTTTCAGTCTACTTTATGTTCACGAATTATTATCATTACATTTTTTTGTTACGTACATATATATCAAAATTGTACTCTACATAGAGCATCAGCAATTACATTCGATTTTTGGTGAGAATGTATTTTTAGTTTTAAAAAAAAAAAAAAAAAAAAAAGTACTTTTAGTTTAGGGGATGAAGCAGGGTGCGGTTATGTTTTTTAGAAGGGGTTTTGTGCAAAAAAAAACCTTCCACCTCGTCTATTTTTGCAACTTTACTCTTCATCTCCGAAAAATACAGATTAATTATACGAAATTCAAAATAATGTGTAATATAACCCTTATACAGATATTGTAAATGTTTTTCCAGTCACGTACATTAGTTGTATAAAATTCTAAATGTAGAGTTGAATCACGATGGTTTCGATTTGATATACTATTTGTCCAAATTTTACGAACTTGACGGTAGCGAATAAGGGTTACATTGCGTATTATTTTGGATTTCGTAGGATTAATATGCATTTTTCGGAGATAAAGGGTATAGTTACAAAAATAGGCAAGTTAGGAGGGTTTTTGTGACGCCCGTCTCCCTAACATTGAGACGGCGTGCGTTCACCTTACTTATCTTTTCCTCTATTCCAATTTCTTAATTTCTTATGTCATACTTTTCCGGGAATCATTTCTTTTACTAAAAACTCAATATAAACTTGTCTTAAAAATAAACTTAAATATAGTCGAAAACTTTTTCTCATACGTAAATAAAAACAAGTTTAAAAATATAAGAAAATAACGGTAAAGTAAAATAAATCCGAGGTTCCCGAAATACACCACAAGAGAGACGGATTTGCGCGACTACTCACAATTTTCACCCTAACCTGGAGAAAAAGGATAAAAAGGGGTGAGTAAAGAATTACTGAGTGAGAGGATCCTTTCCGTCCACTGGAAATACGATACATGAAACTACCTTTACACACAAATCAACAATCACATAGAAAAAGACACTACACTCTTATAGTCTGCACCATTATGTAAACTATAACACAAAACTCATTCTCGCCCTTAGCAAGATCTCCACATCAATACCAGATTCGATCATCTCCCCTGACCTTTGAACCTATCTAATTCCACTGGACTCGTCAGTCTATTATTGAGCTACAAAGAACCCGTCAATTCAATGTAGACTATTTTTCATTTTTCCACTGTTCCACTTTTCCAATGTTCCACTGTACTTCCACTTTTCATCATCTTGAAAGATGATAATTCCACTTTTTCATATAACACATACAATAACTTATCATCTTAATGACATTAACACAATCATCCTATATAACTAAAACAATCATCATATCATTAATCTTAATTAACAAATCATTACTACTAAGCAAACAGATCTAATCCTATGCAATTCTCATACCAAAATTACACATCCAAAATTAAGTCGTAATTTAACCAACAATGAATGGTTGTAAAAGAAATCACCGGTCAACGATAAAAAGACACGTTGGTTTTTATTCTATCCTTATCAACGTTGGTTTTAATTAAACAATTATATGTTATTCAAAATTTCTTTATATATTTGTAATTTAAAATTCTTAAATAAAATAATTTGAATTTGCTTATTATTATCCTATGACTTAGAATGTAGGAAAAACACATAAAACAATTATTATATTTTTAAAAAAGTCTTAATATATTATGAAAATAATGATTTTGTATATCTAAACAGAAAATAAAACCTAGAAAATTTTGTATATATATCTTTATTACGTAAAAAAGTTATAATATCATTTATTGTACGATAAAGAAAAGTGTAATGAAACTAATATTTTATGAGAATAATTTTGTGAAAAAATATATATCATTTCATTTATGGGTGTTTATTCCGGGTTCTTTTAGTCCGTAACTATCGGATCACGTAAGTGGTATCCCAAAACTTAAAGAGTATCCCCCATGCCCAACCATATAAACTCGTGTAATATGTACTAAACCAAATTTACACTAATAACCATGATCCATTATATGATTACATGTTCTGCTGATGAGAACCTATGGACTTCTGATTTTTTTTCTCTCTTCTTATTTTATTAAAAAATTTAAATTCATATGTAAAGATAAATTTAATATTATAATAGTGTGTAATCCTATAAAATGTAATTTAAGTAAAACCCAACAAAATTGAATATATCAAAATTAAAAATTATTGAAAATTAAGGGCTATTAACTTATCATTAAACTAACATATGACATGTATCAGAAATTAGTTTTCAATTAGAAGATAATTTTTGTATAATTGAATTACAAAATCCCAGTTTTCTTATGATTCGAGATTTGTTTTTTCTTTTTAATATATAATTGATAAGTTTTTTTTTTTTGGTAGGCATAATTGATAAGTTAATAGCCCTTAATTTTAAATAGTTTTTAGAATAATATAGGACAAATTTTGGTACTTTTTACTTTTAAAAAAAAATCCAATTCAATAAGGAGATATTCTCCAAAAGAAACAAATCATCCCAATTTACTAAATCCAAGATGCTCCTAAAACGTTTTTTTAAATCCTCATGAAATTGCATTTCATTATTTTCTATTTAGCCTTTCTTTGCAATCTCGTATTATTGGGGATTTTCTTAAGTTATTCATTGTAATTTTACTCATATATAAATACTGAATAGGGATTTGACCATCTTTGGGTCATCGGATTATTATGATACCTAAAGGTAAAGCTGGCATAGGATTTTATTGTTCAAATATTTATAACTTTTGAGTAAACAAAGGATAGTGGTGGTGTCAGCTTGGCGGAGCATGCCTGACATGTGCATCTCATCAATTGTCCTTTATGTTTGTATCCGCACTTGGATCTAAATTGTTTATCTTCACGCATGGTTTTAACTTCACTACAAAAAATTTAAAAAATGTCAAAATAAAAATAAATAAAAAGACAAAAGTGAAAAAGAGATTTATGTGAAGAATATGGATAAATAGTGAAGACAAGACAGTTATTGTCTTGCCCTTGAAACGTATCTAATGGCTAACTCTAGTATCTTTTACAAAGATAATGAGTCCGATTATGAGAGCTCCACCGCCGGACCGGACTCGAGCCGGCGCACGAGTTGGTTGAGCAGCTCTTTCACGGCTAGCCCTAGTTGTAGCTCCATATCTCATCTAAGTAACAATGGCCTCAACAATTACAACCAATCAAAGCCTCACAAAGCCAACCAAGTCGCATGGGAAGCTATGGCCAGGCTCCGTCGGTGCTGCGGCCGTGCGGTCGGGTTAGAACATTTTCGGCTTTTAAAGAGGTTGGGAAGTGGTGACATCGGAAGTGTGTACCTTTGTCAAATACGTGGAAGTCCCGAGACGGCGTTTTATGCTATGAAAGTTGTGGATAAGGAAGCTGTGGCGGTGAAGAAAAAGCTTGGAAGGGCGGAGATGGAGAAGAAGATTCTAGGGATGCTTGATCATCCTTTTTGCCCTACTTTGTATGCAGCTTTTGAGGCTTCTCATTACTCGTTTCTTGTCATGGAGTATTGTCCCGGCGGTGATCTCTACGCCGCCCGCCTCCGCCAACCGTCTAAACGTTTCACTATCTCCTCCACAAGGTGCCCTTTCTTTTAACCATGCATGATTAATCAATCTCATGTTCTTTTTTTTTTTTTTTTTTTTTTTGGTAACAGCTTTATTGGATTGACTCAAATTAGCCAATATGTAATCAATCTCATGTTCTAATTGTTTGTTTACTTTTGCATTTAGTGTTTTGTTTTAAATGTGAACCACAGCTTTTAATATTTTGAAACTAAATTTTCTTATTAGTTATAAATAATTTCCGTGTTGTAGAATTAATTTATGAAAATTGTATTATTTTAAAACGATGTGAATTTTATCATTTTTTCCACCTTAGTGTTTTTAGAAAAATTCATGATTGAAATATCTTCGGTTACAAAAATAAACCAATATTTCTTCCTACTAGTAACAAATACTGATGTAAGTATAGCTTAGCATATCTAATAACTAATTACCAAATGCTTAATAAATCAAGATACTGTGGCAGGTTTTACGCAGCTGAAACTCTGGTGGCCTTAGAGTACCTCCACATGATGGGAATTGTGTATAGAGACCTAAAGCCAGAGAACGTGTTAATTAGAGAAGATGGTCACGTAATGCTCTCAGATTTCGATCTCTCCTTCAAATGCGACGTCGTTCCGCAACTCCTCAACGACAACGACCGTGACCGCGGCCATCAAGGAGACGATGAAGACATCAGCATCCGCCGTAAATGCTCTACACCTTCATGCACGGCAACTCCGTTAAACCCTGTCATCTCCTGCTTCTCTCCAACTTCCAGCAGAAGAAGAAAGAAAAATGTTGTTACGACAACAATACACGAAAATGCAGCTGGTACTAGCCATACTGTGAAAAGTAACGATGTTTCAAGAACATTTTCTCGATCACCTTCATCTTGTTCTCGTGTTTCAAATGGACTTCGAGACATATCTGGTGGATGTCCATCAATTTTCGCCGAACCGATCAATGCACGATCTAAGTCGTTTGTGGGAACACATGAGTACTTGGCACCGGAAGTAATCTCAGGTACTTTGCTAATTTCAAATTATTTACGTGAAAAATAAATGATTTTTAAGCTAACAAATAATAAAATATGGAACATTTTATAAAAGTAAATAAAATTGATCGTTATAGCTAAAGAAGAAGTATATATCATGAAATGTATTAGTAATAATCCGTTTGCTCCAAAAAAATTCCTGAAATCTTGAAATTTTTCCAAAATCTATGGATGTTATCGATCCTCTCCATTTAAAAAAAAAAAAACCTAAAAAAAAGATGAAGTTGAAAGCTAATTTTCTAACCCATCTAAACTATACTACTGAATAATTATGTTAAATTTCCTCATTTTATTCAAAATACATTAATAAAACTTATCTCAAATGGTGATTGCCTAGAGGCAATGAAACTGTTTTTTATCCATTCTATTTGAATGAGTTTTTGTAGTGAAACTATTTGAATGAGTTTTTATCCATTCTATTTGAATGAGTTGTTCTGAGTTCAGCCAAACATTAGCTCCATTTTGCTAACAAGTTAGTGTTGTTGGGTTGTCAGGGCAAGGACATGGGAGTGCAGTAGATTGGTGGACTTACGGGATATTTCTATACGAGATGATATTTGGTAGGACACCGTTTAAAGGCGAAAACAATGAGAAAACGTTAGTCAACATTCTAAAAGCACCCTTGACATTCCCAAAGGTTATAGTGAATAGCCCTAAAGAGTACGAAGATATGGTGAACGCTCAAGATCTTATTATAAAATTACTGGTGAAGAACCCTAAGAAGAGGTTAGGGAGTCTCAAAGGCTCTATTGAGATCAAAAGACATGAGTTTTTTGAAGGTGTTAATTGGGCACTAATCAGGTCGATAAAGCCACCTTGGGTTCCTAAAGAAGAGACTAGTCACAAGACTAAAGGTGATAATCGCAGCGTCAATTATTATCTGCCACCAAGGTTTATGATGAGTAGGAAGGAAAGAGATGAGCCTTACCATGTGGCTAATCATTTTGATTATTTTTAACTTTAGGTTATATTCCAACAAATTAACTTTTTTTTTTAATGACATGGCATTATTTACTAGTCATTTCGACGTGTAGTTTCATTTGATTTTGAGGTCCTTGCGATTATTATGGACTTAAAAATGTAAATGATTAGGTGAAAAATATATCATTTGTGCTATATCACTATCATGTGATTATCAATTGTTTCTACTTTTTGGCTTTTCAAAATATTTAGATAAGTCCATACAGAAAAATAGAAACTCGCGCGTTTGTGCCATTACTCTGATACTACAATAGAATTATGTTGCAAAATCATTGCGTCTATATATCAATTAACAAGTCAAAATAAAAATCAAACTTTTAAGTTGATAATACAAATGCATGCACTGACCATTAATTTGCCCTTTATTATTAAATCTCATTTGTGGTTGATTAAAACAAATTATTTTACCATAAACGTATTACAAGCTACCATCAAAATATTGTAATCAAAATATGCTCAAATAATTTTAAAAATAAGTAATTGTTTAACTTATACAATGTGTTATATTTATTTCAAATAATTAGTAACTAATTTTATCACTTTACTTAATAATCAATCGTATATCTTGTATAATACTTAAACTAGCGACGTGATTCTTTGCAATATACTCCCCCTGTTCCTAGAAGATTGATTTTCTAGAGATTTCACATTTCTTAAGAAACAATCATTGTTTAATAGAAAAAAATATCAGTGTCCTTTGAGTAGTGTGAAAAATCTAGAAAATCAATCTTTGTGGAACAAACTCAAAACACTAGAACATCAAACTTCAAGGAACGGAGGGAGTAACTTCTAACACGGTTTAATAGTGAAAGCGGCCAAAATATACACCGTATCTACGTTATAACACAAGTTTTCTTCTAAAATACTGCCTAAGTTATATTTTGCTGGCTAGAGTTAAATATAAGCATTTTACATAAATATTTTGCACATTTCAAAATTAATCATGTGCAATAAGATGCGCACTGTTGTATATAATGTAATTACGTGTACAATAATGATTTCAGTTACTAGAATCACGACCGAAGATTTTGTATGTGGAGACAATTATGATTCTTCCTGAATACTAATGATGGGAACCTTATTAAATTATATAATTCCCACTCCTTTTCGCGAAGAAAAAGCTAAAGTATTTAGCCAAAAAGAAAGCCTTGTAATGATTCATTTGAATTCGATGACTTTAATCAATTTTCCTACGGCCCGAAAAAATCAGAGATTTTTTTTTTCAAAGACATAAGTATTGGATTCTTTCTACTTTAATTGTGAGAGTTAAAAAAAAAGTTGTTCTTCTGTACATGCATGCGTAGCTAACTAAACTTTCACCGCTATCCATTCAACTACTTTATCACATATTATACGCTCTAGAGTTATAGTCAAAATGCTTTCCCAAAACCAAGATTGTTTTGAAAAAACAATGTTTGCAATATGGAATGGATTACGAATTTCGATTGCATGCTGTGATAAGGTAGACACAAATAAATAATTCAACAACTGTTGAAAAGAAAATTCAACTAGAACATTTGGATAAACTGATTTTAATTCTTTTTAAAGACAAAGAAATTTCATTCGTTATTTGTGGCTAGAGTATTACGTTAATGCAAGTGATAATGTCCTTTTAATCTTAACAATGTCCCAGTATCTTTCATGTAAGATATAAACTCTATGAAAAATACCCGAATCACTAATTGTGCAATACAAGTATGTGGATAGGATCTTCTCACATATTGGTTTTTCCACTCAAAACTAAAATGTAAGGTCCAAACCATTTCGAATCCTGAAAATGTTACACTCGATGTAAAAACGGTTTTTTTACATATAGATTTTACATTTATTCAGAAAAGAAAATTTTTTTGGAGAGACTGATGAAAAATGTTTTTAGAATATGTAAGATGACGGAAGAACTAATGTCTTTAATCAATCCAAATGTTTGGAAAACTCTTTCAATCGCTATATCATTAATAAAAGCACGAGAAGACTTATGAGTGAAGCCATAATAAAGTAATGGCTTCAAGGATTTATCAGTGTCCTTTGAGTAGTAATAGAAAAAAAAATGAATTACTTAAACCGATTAGTTTATCAGTGTAATCCAAATGAAGCTAAAGAATAGAAGTTTGTCAGGTGACTGTTAGAGGATATACCTTGATCTCTATTATTGATTCTTATTGCCAATAAGCAGAAAAATAGATATTTATGAATTAACATTTTTTGTTGAGCTTGTAAAAATAGTTTGGCGCGATAAATGTAAGCATTCCAAGTAAATCACCATTGGACTAACGAGAATTCGCACATTTTAGATCTTCTTGCAGTAGCTTTGGATATTCGGTTTACTCAGTTTAACCAGTTGGTTGTTTCTGTTATCCAAAATTCTGCCAAATTGAACCGATAAGAAATTTTGGTTTGGTTCGGTTCAAAAATCGGTTTATTTGATTCGGTTATTGGATTTAAAATCAGTTCTAAAATAAATCAAAATTGTTTTTTCTCGGTTATTTCGGTTAACCGAAATCTTTCTCATCTAAATCCTCTTTTCCATAGGCAATATCTGACCTATAAATCCAGATGAAGCCAAGTCAAATCATTCGGAAAAAGAAAAAAAAAGATGGAGGATTCGAAGTGAGATTGAAAATAGGGAGATTTACTCAGATGTTATACATTTTATATGAAATTACCAGAAACATACAGATCTTTTTTTTATTACTATCATATTTCGGGTATATTTTTTATACCCAGCGTACCCCTGTTAAACGTTACAGGAAAAAACGTAATTACAAAGAATGCCACTGCCACGTCAGCAAAGCCGCGTCGCCACATCAGAAATCGCTGACGTGTATTAATGAACTCAGCCGTCGAGCGATATAGCGGCAGTGACGGCTGAGTTACGGTATGTTGCGGCTGATTTAAGAAAAATGGCTGAGTTATGAGCAAACGGCTGACTTACGAGTATAACCCAACCAGGAGTTACGGCTGACTTACTGAAATCTGTCTGAGTTATGATAAAATGGCTGACTTTCGAGCATAACCCAGCCTAAGTTATGGCTGAGTTTTCACCCGATGGTTGATTTGTCAAATTTTTGGCTGAGTTATTGCTTCGACACGGCTGACTTAACTTTCTTCGGCTGGCTGAGTTATCAAAGACGGCTTAGTTATGGGATAACGTTACGGCTGATTTATGTTTGAGTATCATAAATCAGCCGTAATGAGCTGGATTAACGGAAAACTCGGCCTTATTATGGCTGACTTAGTAGCGAAAGATTAATTACTAGAATAACATGCAATGACGGCCGACTTATTAAACGACACGACTGAGTTAAATATTTTTGGTTGAGTTACGACAGTAAACGGCTGAATTTAGTTGCCGTTTTTTCGTTTTTTAATTACTGTAATAGTATTCATGTTGCGGCTGAGTTAAAGTTTTGTTTGATGGCTGGTTTAATTAAGCTGATTTACATTTTCGTTTGGTGGCTTACTTGCCACTTCATCAATTAAAAAATGACGTGGATGCAACATTCCATGTCATCATTCCATGTCATCATCATCAAAGGACAAAAAAATAGGGCCAAATTTTTTCAACTCGTCTTCTTCACCTGAGTTTATCACATCACCGGAACTTCCAATTCCTCATCGTCTTCCTCATTCTTCTTCAATTTCTTTCATCCTTCTCCCGATATGGTTGATCCGGTTCCGGTAATTGGGTATAAAAACACAAATACGTATTTAACACCGATGAAAGAGGGTGTAGAGTTGTGCAGATAGATGCGAAAACAACGCACGAAAAACTTGTGAAGTTGGTGCTCAATGATAAAGTTAGAGGAAATGTTGCGTCTCTTATTATTTCGCTGCAAATTTACATGTCACGGCTGAGTTATATGCTTAAGGGAAGACGAAAGGTTCGGTCAATTTACATGTCACGGCTGAGTTATATGTTCCAGGAAAGACGAAAGGTTCGGTAAAATTACATTACGGCTGAGTTATATGCTTAAGGAAAGACGAAAAGTTCGGTCAATTTACATGTCACAGCTGAGTTATATGTTCCAGGGAAGACGAAAGGTTCGGTAAAATTACATTACGGCTGAGTTATATGTTTAAGGGAAGACGAAAGGTTCGGTAAATTTATATGTCACGGCTGAGTTATATTCTCCAGGGAAGACGATAGATGGGTGTAAATTATATGTTACGGGTGAGTTATATGCTTCAGGGAAGACGAAAGGTTCGGTAAATTACATGTCACGGCTGAGTTATCATTCAGGGAAGACGAAAGGTTGTGTAAATTATATGTTATGGCTGAGTTACATCACGTTACGGCTGAGTTACATCACTTTACGGCTGATTTATAATACAGATCGGAAAGCAACATTTTTTTGGAGAAGACAATATGAAATTTATTGGTCAAATAACAACAATCAAATTAAGATTCGTAAAAATATGTTTGAGGGATACATAGGAGGAAGACTAAACCGTATGAATCAAAACATAGATAGAAGTAGAAATGTCTCCAAATAGATCGATTGAGAGGAAGATTAAACGAGAGACATGTAAAATCAAAGTAAAAGAGTAGCTATTCTTGATTTCAACTCAACCTGTAACGAATCATGTAGAATTCCATAGATCTCTTTGTTTTGGGTTTTGATTTTTGATGACTTTTTTCGTGAGCGTGGTTACGAGTAGATCTGACGAAGCTTTTGATTTGGGACCCTATGGCAAGCGTTGTGGCTGTGAGGTCTAGGAAGATCCAGCCCAATCTTGCAATTTGAAGATCTCTGTCAATGTTGTACCTAAGTTAGTTGCAGATTATTAGATCTAAAAGTTTTTCTTGGATTTGGAGATAAAAAAAAGAGAAGAGGAGAAATAACGTGAGTTTGAGGAGTGTGAGATTGGTGATGTGGATTAATGACATGGATAATCAAATTTTTATTTATTATTTTTAATTAAAAACGAATTAAAAATTATTAATTAAAAAAAAACTAATGAAGGGTGTTAATTGTAATTACACAAATGCTCAAAACATATGAGTAATTTTTAGAAAATGTATGATATTCTAGTAATATTCGAACTTTTGGTTAACATCTGAGTAAATAGGAGAAGATTTTTATTACAAGAGGTTATGAGAAAAAGAATTAAGAAATGATACAATCAGAGATAAGACACTCACTTGCTGGACGAATCGATTGAGGAATTTCTGAGTTAGATCTAGGGTTTTTCTTTTACGTAAAGATTGTGGGTTGTGTAATAAATATTGGGCCAAAGAAAAAAAATATTATTATTATGGATAATTGAAAGTATTATATATATATATATATATATATATAAATGTTTTGAATTTTGGGCCAACTAACGTAGTGATATATCATGTTTTTACGGTTTTTAACCATGATATAAGTATTTTTTGAGTTTTTTTTGTTATTTCTAGAGTCTTTTCTAGTTTTTTTCAGGTTAATTCACATACGGGACCAATTTGTAGATTATGGATCATTCTGGAGCAAAACCGAGAAGTTATGCTACAAGAGCAGTCCGGAGACCAATGTTGGTGTCTGTGTCAATCGATATCACCCTAGTGTCGGTCGATACTAATATCTGACGGCAATTCAATTTGACGTGTCTTTGAAGTTTTGAAGATTTGCAGAATCGCCCCAGAACTTTTTCTTATTTTCAAAGAAGTCTCTACACGTTTTTAAGACCATATATATAGATTTTTAAGGTCATTGTTTAGACCTAAGCTTTATTTTTACTTTTTTTCTTAAGAGTTAAAACCCTGTGGAGCTCCCTCCAGAGAAGATCCTTCAAAATTCTATTATCTTCTTGTTTTCTTATAAGATTTCTACTTTAAAACATGTTTTGTTCTTCGATAATCATGTCTCAGTAGTCCTCTTGTTGGGTTTAGGGATTCTCGATAGGGATTTGGATGAATTAGTAGATCAATAACCTGTTAGGATAATATTTTTAGAGTTCTTCATCCTTGATTGTTCTTGATGCTAGTTCTTGAGTAATTAACTAGAACTTGATCTTAGGATAATACGTTTGACACGAGAGTATGCTTATTACTGGAACTATCTTACGTGGGAAGAAGTAGTTAGACATAGACAAGAGTTGGTCTAGATACTTTTGTGAACATACAGAACCTAATCTTAATACTTGCTTAGTTTCAGGGATTTACAGACGAGAGTTGGAATTCCTGCTATTAGGCATAGATAGTCAATTGAGACGAGAGTTGGTTGATTATAGTTATGTGATTTGAATACTAGAACGGTTCTTTAATAATTCCTAACTAATTTCTAGATCTACTATTCTAATGTTTCCTGAGAAATTCCTGAGCCAAACGTTTCCCTCATCTGAATTTACTTCGATTTTAATTACTTGTCTTGCTTTTATTTTTACAATCTTTTCTGTTTAGCTTAATTCGAAACTGTTAGTCTATTGTGTGATTCGAGAGTTTTTTGGATTTCGATCCTAAAGTACTACAATTGATCTCTTTATTTGGGAGAGTAGTCTAAGGTCTAATTTGACTAATATCAAATTTGGCGCTGTTGTCGAAGTTCTCTTCGATTCGCCATTAGACTAGGTATAGAATTTAGTCTAATTTTTTTTTTTTACTTTGTTACTTACGCATTCTTTTTCTTCTTTTTTTTTTTTATGACAGGAGCTAATAGGAATTCAAACGCAACAACCACAAAGCTACTCAATCAGTGGATATGTTGAAACTGATTATCAGACCTGATGCTGCTGGAGTCTTACGAGTCAGAGATGGTCAGGCTTACGACCATGAAGGCCAGGAAATTGATGAACAGGGAAATGTGATTCTAGAAATCGTAGATGGTGTCGACCGACACCAGCTGAGTGTCGATCGACTCCAAGGGGAAAATAGAGAAGATGGTAGTCGGATAACTCTTGGTGACTACAACAGACCAGATCTCTTCTATTCCAATCGGTCTGCAATCCGATAACCTAAATTTATAGAAGCGATTTCGAGATAAAACCTACATTCTATACTTTTGTGAGTCAACACCCGTTTCAAAGTATTCCACATGAACATCCGATGGATCATATTGAGCGGTTTGAAGACTTAGTTTCGAGCATTAAGGTAGAAGGTGTTTCTGATGACTATCTGTTTTGCAAGCTCTTCCCATATTCTCTTGCTGGGGAAGCAGCTGTAACGTCCGTCACCGCGATCCTAAAGGGGGCCGATTTGTTTTAGGAAAAACTAGATCATAGTCGAGAAAGATCAATGAATAAGTTAACCTAAGGAAGTAATAAACATTTAAGTCATGAAAAGGGTAGATGACTTAGACGATTTCGGGATAATCTAATGATCATGGGGAAATGATCATGGAAAGTTTAGGAATGGCGTAGTCAAGGCCGAGAAACAGACCGAAAGACTTAGTTGGAAAAAACAGATAAAAGAGTTCGAGCTAATCCAGCTAGGTGAGCTGGACAAGCTGAATGAACTAGCTAGCTCATCTAGGTAAGCTAAACCAGCTGGAAGCTCGGCTAGGTAAGTTGACCGACAGCTCAACCGAGGTCAGTGAGCTGATCGAGTACTGACCCAGCTGGGTGGACCGGTCAGCTAATACTCGAGCTAGCACTACAAGAAAACATGCCTTTTGCGACTCCCAAACGAGTCCTTAAACGGTCGCTAATCGTTGTTTGCGACTTCTTTGCGACTACTCAAGTTGGTCGCTAAAAAACGGTCGCTAAATTAAATGGTCGCATTGTAGTCGCATATTTGTGATGGTATTGAGACTTATTTATGTCATCGCAGATAAGCGACGACATAAAGACTGACATTAAGAGTCGTATATTTACGACGTCTTAGCTACGCCTGTTAGTTAGCGACTAATTAGTGACAAACATTGCAGTCGTTTAATTGAGACTAATTTGGGTTTTGAGAGACTATTAATTAGTCGTAAATAAGCTATATTTTGATTCTAAAAATAACAAAACCGAATTCATATAAATCCAAATGTTGCTAATCAAATCCTTAATGTTGCTAACCAAAAGCCCTAATGTAATCAAAAGCCTTACATAACCTTAAACATTAACAATATTCATCATGTTCATAAGAGAAAGAAAAATGTACAAAAGCACTTAGAAGGATGAAGAAGGTGTTGTTGTGGCTGCGACGGTTCCTGTTGGTGCAGTGGCGCCTGTGGCTGGTGCATTGGCGGTGGCTGGTGCATTGGCGGTGGCTGTTGCATTGGTGGTTGTTGCATTGGCGGCTTGTGAGTTGGCTGGTGCAGTTGGTTGTGGCTGAGATGCAACAAAAGCTGCAAAGGCAGGATCATTCTCTTTCCAATACATAACAAGCCTCTCCAAGTTTGCAATCCTAGTTTGAGATGCTTGTTGCTCCGCATCATGTCGAGCATTCTCTGCGTCGTGCTCAGCCATCTTTTGACGAAGTTGATCATGAAGCTCGGTAATGGAGAAAGAAGAGCTGCTAGAATAGCTTTCTTTTCTTTTCCCTTTCCTAAGGGTCACCTTAAGAGATCCAATGCCAAAATAGTTCCCCTTCACATCTGTTTCAGTACACTTAAGAAAAAAAAAATAGAATCATGCTCAAGCAAAAAGATAATCAGTCAAGTATTCAAGTATTAGCAAATAGAGTCATTCAAGATCAAAAACAGAATCATTCAAGTATTAATCATAAAACATGGACTGATTCTATATATGATTACCAAACAGTGATGATGATATGCAAACTCTAAACAAAAACTTACACGAGATTACCTTAAGAAAGAGTTCATTCTTTTCTTCAATGGTGAGAGTCCGGTGAGTTGCTGCTGAGAGGAATCATCTGAAGCGTCTTCACCATCTTCAGCCAGTTCAGACAGTCTCTCTTCTATGCTCTTATTATAGACCTCAGCTACTTGTTTGGCTTTAGCATCCACAAAAGTACCATCTGCTCTTGTGTGTGTTTGCATAAACACTTCTCCATATGACACAGGACGCCCCAATTCTTCCTCCTATAAAATCACAGAACAGAGGTAACAACATATAGTGATCTAAGTGCAATATTTAAAAACAAAGTGAAAGGTTATATAGATTCATACCAGCTCTTGGTGAACTTGCATGAATGATTTTTGCCCTGATACGTGTTTGTGGACTCCAAGACCATTACGATCACTGTTTCTGGACTGTGATGCAGTTTCACTCTATTCAATTGCTTCCTTAGTTTTCCAATAAGCACACATCTGTGCCCACAGGTCATTACTGGTAATCCAATACGGTTGGAGACCAGAAAGCTTCGCTTGACTAACAATTCCTTTAAGCCTTTTCTTGGCGATGACCAAGAATCCTTCTCTGACTAGCTCCGTAATCCCGATATCCCAATTCAACTTCCCCTACACAGATTAGTATGAATTAGTATAACTCATACTAATTCATTGCAACATATACTATTGCACATTGATAGGAATATCAAACATTACCGCAAATGATCTGAAATATCGCTCTTGAATGGCTGTAGGAGTCACCTTCCAGCTATAGTAAGGTCCATCAAATTTTCTCCGAAATATTCCAGCAATACTCCTGGACAATACTCTTTTGTCTCGGCCAAACCTATAGATAAAAACAGACATTAGGCATAAGATAACAAACAATTAGTAAGACATTTGATAAAAACAGACATTAGACCATTAGTAAGACACTTGATAAAAAACAGACATTAGACAATGAACAAGTGATCTAAACAGACAATGATTAACCTAATAGCCTTAATTTATGATAATCAAGCTAGAACATTACACATGAGAACTAATTTAATGAAAAACATTAACCAAACATTAAGCTAAACATAGAGGAGGTTTATACCATATAGTCTCAACGCCTGGAATTGGAACATTACTCAGACGTGGAAGATGCTCTCGGCCAGGCAGAACCAACAAATTCTCTAACATCTGCTGGTAGTCAGGCGGTGGAGCATTAGGGTTTTCCTGAGGAGGCATCTGAGGTTGGGGAATCTGCTGAGGATGGACTTGGTCGTGAGGATGGTCTTGGTCCTAAAGAAGATACAACAAGAAGGTAACAAGTTAGACAAGAAAAAAGGAAACTGTGTGCTGACATTGATATCTCTGATTAACCTAATAGCCTTAATGTACAGACAAAACACTGATTCACACAACTGAGACAAGAACAAAAGAGAGATTCTTTGATACTTGATAAGGAGGAGGTTGATGATAAGGACCCGGCTGTTGATAAAGCGACGGCTGCTGATAATTAGGAGGAGGCGGTTGATAAAGCGGCGGCTGCTGCAGATAATTAGGAGGAGGCTGTTGATGAGGAGGCGGCTGTTGATGAGGAGGCGGCTGTTGCTGACTAACCTGCGGTGATGGAAGGCGAGCAGGAGGTGGTGGTTGTGACGATGCCGGATACTGACTCGGAACAGTTGGCCTAGATGTTTGACTCATCGAAACTGTTTGACTCGGAACAGTTGCGGTTGAAGACAAAGGATTGGAGGCGTTCAAAGACGTTCCGACAGCAACTTTAGGGTTTCGACCATTGAACACTCGTACACCGGATCTCCCACCACCACGGCCTCTACTTGCTTTCCCCTTTGGCGCCATTACAGAGAACAGAAGAATCGAAGAGAGAGAGGAAGAATTGAATCGAATCGAAGTAGAGAAGAGAATGGAAGAGAATCGAAGTAGGAAGAGAATCGAAGTAGGAAGAAGAGTAATCGAATCGAAGAAGAGAGGAAGAATCGAAGAGAAAAGAGGAAGATAGAGGAAGAATCTAAGAGAATGGAAGAGAGAGATCGAAGAAGATGCGGAGAAATCGAAGAAAATGCTAAGTGTTTGGGTTTGTGACTTTTCAGTGGTAGACATAAAAGAAAAGTAGTCGCAAAGCCGTGTCAAATGAGTCACACCTAAAAAACACGAGGGATTAATTGCCGCCTAATCGAAAACCCTAAATTTTGGTAAAAATCACAAACCGGTCCCAAGTCGGTCGCAATCTGGTTGCACAAGTAGTCGCAAAATAATTATAGTGTAGCAATAGAATCACAATAAAGTGACACTTTTGTGACCACTCGCATGAGTCACAAGACATTATTTTAGATTTGTTAGATAATTCAACTAATCGAGGCAACTTTGTCACAAAATGCGTAACAAAATGGTCACTAAAGAGTAGCACATTCGTTGTAACACTAGGCAGTGGCAAAGTAATCGCAAAGAGACACACTTTTGCGACGATCGTGTATGAGTCACAAACCAATATTTATGATTTCTCAACATTTAGATCAAAATACATTAGTATAAGTATTATATATCACTCCAGAGTCCATTTGTGAAGTATTTCTTTCAATTTATTTAATAAAACAATGATTTGGTAAGTTTATTTTCAAACTTACATAGATTATGATCATTCTCTTTTAAAAGTCTATGTAACATTTTATACATGATAGGTTCCTACAAAGATTTAGTTATAAACATGAAAAATTAAAACATTAACAACTAATATTTCAATGTATTAGTTATAAACATTGCAAAATATGGTTACTTAACATATTACACATTCTATTTTATCAAATTACAATTTTAAAAACAGAACAAGTCTCTAAAGAGAGGCAAATTAGTTGTAAATTTACGACTCTTTTGTGACGATGAAGATATTTCAGACAAAAAAAATTGGATGTCGTTTGGGTTGCAAAAGTATCGTAAAAGGGTCGCGGATTTATGACCGTTCTCAGACTATACTATGGCGTCGTATATTCACGACGAATATGCGTCTGTTTTTGTTGTATTCGTAAATGAGTCACTGAAGTGTAACAAAAGCGTCGCAAATATTTGCGACCAAAAGAAGAGTCACAAAAAGGAGTCGCAAAAGGCATGTTTTCTTGTAGTCGTGGACTGTGGTAGCTCGGAGGCGAAGGGATGTCTCGACCAAAAGGTGTTAAGGTCGAGCGGTTATAAACAAATGGTTCCGTTGGCCAAAAGATGGATAAGGCTGAGCGGTTATGATCGGAAAGATGCAACCCTTCACAAAGGTGCAAGAAACGGATGCGATGCTTTGGAAAGGTAACCATTTGGCCCTATATAAAGAGTGGACTTCAAAACACTTCACAATCATGATCACAATCCAAAAACAGTCCAAAAACACACCATGAATTTGTTGGACGGAAAGGAGGTGCGGGTTGGCGAGTATCTCCGAAATCGGAATGGATCCTCGGAGCCTCTACCAAACTAATGCGTATGCTACCTCCCGATCCCACGGTTCGATGGAATGTATTGGAAGGATGGATGGGTCGGACTGATCATCGCAGAGACGGATTGCATCTGACAAATCGATCTTCCGACGGATCGGATCAAACAGACCGATCGGATCTGACGAGAAGACGGATTGAAAGGACCATCGCACAGACTGATCAACTGATCGCCCGACCGAGATATGCAGATTGATCGTCGTGTCAACAAATTGGATCTGTGTATGACTGGACAGGCCGGACCGGCGTACAACCGGATCGGCGTACGACTAGAGTGGCTTACGACCTGATAAACGGACCAAGGCATAGATCGGCGGATTGATCGTTCGTACAGATCAGCGGGCTAAGCGTCAGTACGTATCCAAGATCTGGTCGAGGGAACATGGCGGATTACTTGATCGAGGATTCGATGGAAACCGCCGGAGAGTTCGACGATTCGATTGATGGTTCGGATCGATAGCTCGATTATGGGACCGATGGATTGTCCGACAAATCAGATCGTCGAGGGAAGGACACGATAAGGAAATAGATAGACAAATCTCAGATTGTCGGTATAGAAGTATTGACGAATCCAAAGATAGACCGATGGAATGATAGGGTTAACAGGAAGTTAAACGAGAAGGTGTGTAAGGGAAAGGTGTTCGGATCGCATGGATGGATCGATATGCCGAAAGCTTTATCGACCACCAAAGACCAGACGGGTAAACGGTTAATAAACTGTAGGCGGTCGTAGTGATACGCGACCGGATCGGAAACATAGAATGGTTCGATAAGCCAAGGGCTTGATCATCCACCGAGAAACCAAAGGGGCGTACGTTTAGAAGATGGATGGACCAATGAGTTAGGAGCTTGATTCGGCCACCATGAACCAAGGGAAACATACGATCCCCAATCTCTATCTTGGGACTTAGACCAGTGGGGTTGGTTAGATGTATGGCTAAGTAACGATAAAGATTGGTTCATCAATACACGTTTGGTTAAGAATCGTTGTACGAATGCAATAAGGCAACAAATGGGCTAAGAGAAGAATCAATGGACGGATCAAAGATAAATCGAATCCGCATGTTGGCCAAGGTATGTAAACGAATCTGACTTATTACTTAAGCTAGGACGTTTGGGAATCGGCCGTTGAATTAGGATAACAGAATATGCAATCGTTAAACTTAGAATGGTTAGCGAACAAATTACATGTCTTGACCAATTAAAGGTTCGATCTAAGTCTTATAGACAAGGACGATGAAATCGGTACAAGAGTTGGTTGGAATTAAACCAAGGGTAGAAAGACTTACAGTGTGTTAAAAGAAATGGATTATAGAATTAAGCCTCGTAAAGGCAATTCTCTGTTAAAATGCGAAAATATAGAGGTTCGGCCGGGAAGAGATACGAACGTGTGTCCATTGTCGTCGGATGCCGAGACATCCGGGACGGGACGCTACATCAGCTTCTTGCCTTAAGAAGTTGAAGCCCGGATCTCTGACTTAGAAAAAAATAAAGGTTGCTTTTCTAAACAACTTTTATAATGATGCAAGGTCCGAGGAGCTGAGAATGAATATCTCCACCTTCTCTCAAGGAGCAGCTAAAGCATTTAAAGCCGCTTTGTGAGACCCCGTCCCGGACGTCTCGGCGTCCGGCGACCATGGTCACACGTTCGTGCCTCTTCCAAGCCGAACCCCCATATTTTTCGTGATTTAACATAGAATTGCCTTTACGAGGCTTATTTCTATAATCGCTTTCTTAGTACCCAGCGGAAGTGTTTCTACCCTTGGTTTAATTCCAACCAACCCTTGTACCGGTTTGATCATCTTTGTCCCTTAGACTTTAGATCGATCATTAACTCGGCCAAGTCATGCAATTTGTTCGCTAACCATTCTAAGTCTAACGATTGCATATTCTTTGTATCCCTAATCCAACGGCCAATTCCCAAACGTCTATCTTAACTAATAAGTTAGATACGTTTACATACCTTGGCCTACATGCGGATTTGATTCCTCTTCGATCCGTCTATTGATCCTTCTCTTAGCCCTCTCGTCGCCTTATTCCATTCGTACAACGATTCTTAACCAATCGTGTATTGATGGACCAATCTCTATCGTTACTTAGCCATTCATCCAACCAACCCCACTGGTCTAAGTCCTTACGATAGAGATTGGGGATCGTACGTTTTCCTTGGTTCACGGTGGCCAAATCAAGCTCTTGGCTCATTGGTCCATCCGTCCTCCAAACGTACACCCCTTCGGTTTCATGGTGGACGATCAAGCCCTCGGCTTATCGAACCATCCATGTTTCCGATCCGGTCGTTTATCACTACGACCGCCCACGGTCTACTAACCGTTTACCCGTACGGTCCATGGTGGTCATAACGCCTTCGGCTTACCGATCCATCCATGCGATCCGAACAATATCATTATCACACCCAAGGGTCCGTGGATTCACCCATCGGATTATCGTAGGCTAGCCCATGAAATCATTCGTCCGTCGGCCTTTGGTTTGCTCGCGGGTCCAACATCCGTTTTGTCCACCGGTTCTCACCGTGGACTTTCCCGTTGGTTATCCGTCGAGTCACCATTGGTGTTACCGATTCCTAATCGGTTTCACCATCGGCCATGGCGATTGATACATGAAGGCGGCCGCGATATTAGATCCTTACATGGTGAACCACGTCACTTACCCATTCTCGGTGCTTACTCCCTTTACCGGTGAGATTGCATCCATGGGCGACCCTTGGGTGTGTTTGGTTGCACTTATCCTCGTGCTTCTTTGAACACCTTTCCCTTATACGCCTTTCCGATTAACTTTCCGTTAACCATATCATATATTGGTTTATCGTTAGAACCGTCGATACTTCCATATTGACAATCTTAGATTTGCCGATCCATTTCCTTTTCGTGTCCTTCCCTTGACGATATGATTCATAGAACGGACGATCCATCGACCCCATAATCGAGCTATCGACCCGAACCATCAATCAAGTCGTCGAACCCTTCGGCGGTTCCCATCGAATCCTCGATCATGTAATCCGCCATGTTCCCTCGACAAGATCTCCGATACGTACCATCGGTCATCCCGCTGAACGTTACGATCGATCAATCCGCCGATCTAAACCTTTATCCATTTATCCGATCGTACACCTATCCGGTCATACGTCGATCCGACTTGTTGACACGACGATCGATCCGCCTATCCCGGTCAATCGATCCGTCTGTGCGACGGTCTATCCGGATCCATCTTCTTCTCCGATCCGATCCATCCGTCCGACGATCGGTCTGTCCGATCCGTCCGACGATCGGTCTGTCCGATCCGATCCGTCCGACGATCGGTCTATCCGATCCGATCCGTCCGACGATCGGTCTATCCAATCCGATT